GTAATCTAGGTATGGTCAAGTCACAGAAATAATTTATTATGTACAGCTCAGTTATCTGTTCGATTATTGGAAAAGTCGTGATGTATTTTTTCTATGCAAAAGTACATCCTGACTTTTCTGACAACCAGTAGGTATACATATAGAATTAATCTCCAAATTCAGGAATTCTATTTCTCCCCAAATCTCATTATGTCAGTATCTCAAATCTGTTACCTTCAAAACCCAAAGCATCCCTCTTTCTCTCGAGTCATTCTGTTACCCACTTCTGTTAATAGTGATACTCCCCTTTCGAGACCATACACATTTGTAATGAGAGAGATTTCTTGCTTGAAATCTTAAAGGAACTTGGATGAGGATTCTGCTGGTATGGCACCTTTTTACCCTCCCTAGTCTGTGCCATAAAATATGTGCTGAAGCACAGCCGTGATGACCTCTCCCTGCTGACTTCAAGGCTGATACCCTGCTAAACCCTTCAGTCTTTCTTGAATTTGGCCTCGGCGTATCATTTCTGTTGCTCCGTGGAGTACTTGGCATCGCTTCCACATATCCTAGACTTGATTGTCTTGACTCAGCACCTGGGCTCATCCTGTTACCTCTGCTTGGAATCCTCTCTATCCTTCTCATGCTTCAGATGCCACCTCCACAAAACCTTCTCCTTTTCACTCTGTCAGAAGTTACTCATTCACTCATTCAGCAAGACACACTTTACTGCTTACACACTCTCCATGCTCTAGATCTTTCTGTTTAGTGACAGAACACAGATATGAAATGAAGTCTAGTAAAGGGTTATGTGGGTCTTAATAAAAGTTTGTGAAGGGTACGGTGGAGGCCAAGTAGAAAATAATCAACTCACCATGGCAAATAGAGTAGATGATAGATGATCAGTCTGGGAAGAGTAGGACTGGCTTGGATGGTTGTAAGTGGGGAGGGAGTATGATGAGGAGGGCTTTAGAGATGAGGGCAGGCAGGCAGAAGAGTGTGTGGGGGGGTGTCAAGGGAGGCACTTAGCAGAGGAGCAGCGTGAACAGTGATGTGGGGTATCAACAGTTTGGTGAGCACAGAACTGCAAGTGCTTTATCGTGGTTAGAAGACAGGGTGGGGTGGAAGAACAGAGGAGTTGGGGGAGTATATGTGAATCTGAAAAGCTAAGTAGAGAGCAGGCCTGAGAAGCCCATATCATACCATACTAGAGGGCCTAGGCCTTCCAGAGGGCAATGGAGAGCCATTGAAAGGCTTCAGGTTGAAGTGTAGTCAGCTTGGTAGTTAGGCAGTGCTACGGAGGTTGAAAGAAAAATGGCAGCAAAGAGATTAGCCGGAAGACTGTTCTAGACTGTTCCATGAGTGTGGTAGTGGAGGTTGATTGTATGGCAAAACCAAACTGAGATGATCAGTCTGGGAAGAGTAGGACTGACTTGGATGGTTGTAAGTGGGGAGGAAGTATGATGAGGTCTCTTGTATGAATTTTAAGATTTCTAGCTTGAGAAATTGGAAGTATTGTCTGGGATAGAGAGAATGGTTCGGGGAGGGGAAAAATAAAAGATCTGAGATTTGAACATGTTTAATGTGAGTATTTATTCTCAGAAGGCAGCTGGAAACCGTGACTAGAGCCTATAGAGAGATGTGTAGAGAGATCTGGCCTAAGGTTCCTATTTGTATTCCTTCATACATGGGTGGTTTTTTGAAGCCATAGGAGTAAGTGCTGTCACTTAGGCTAACAAGGTACAGCGAAGAGTTACGTAGATTGTAGAAAAGGAGGAAAGAAACGATTTCCTCCTCTGGGCAGCTTCTCACGACCTCGGACCTCTGTCTCGCTAGCGTCGCTGTAGTGTGTAATAGAATTCTTACGCGATCTCTCTGTTCTCACATCACTTTTTTTGTTCCATCTCTCTTCCCCTACTAGACTATAAGCCATATGAAGGCAGGAGCCGTGTGTGTTTCGCAGGTTGCTTTTCTTTACCACTAATAAAGTACCTGGTGCTTAATAAATGTCCTTAGAAATTACCGAGGAAACAGACGAATGGGTGAATGAAAAAGGAGCGAGGGTGGCAGAAAGGGAGAGCCCGTAGTTAGGAAGGAAAGCGAGTCACCTTACCATGTCTCATCCTGGACTGAAAGCTTTCCTTCGTGGGAGGGTTCTCTGAGACCCTTGTGTCCCCAGGTGCCACCAGCACCGGCCTGTTGCAGAGTGGCTCCTGTAGAAGAGCTGGGGACGTGAATGAATGAGAATTGCCTCCAAAGCATGCTTTCATTTTATGGAGTTCTCTTCCTTTTCATATTTTCTTAGTTTATTATAGGACACAGAATTTAGGAAAAGTTTTATCAACAGATTATTTGATTCATACACTTAGTGAGATGTACATATCTTATATTTTGCATATCTGATTTTATATGGGAATAGCTCTCTAATAATTCCTCTGGAAAAACAAAAATCTTTTTGGCAAAAATAAACTTCCTATTTGGTGGAGACTGAATGAGTAAATCAGGAGAGAATAGCAAACACTGCTTTGCTTTGGCTCTGTCTCTCGAAGGGTTCCTGGTTCACTCATGGTCCCTGGGAAGGCCCCGTGGGAGCCATGCAGAAACACCTGCTCATGGCGTTCCCACGGCCCTCTAACTCCCTTTTTGTTATTCTTAGTGCTTGCCTTTTACTTTAGGAGCTTAAGAATCACTGTCCTCTTCAACTAAATGTGCACCGCTCTGTCTCATCTTGGGTGAATTTATTTTTCTTTCATGTTAGGAGAACTTGAGGGCCAAGTGGTTGGAAATTCCACTCTATTCTGAAATGTTATGCAGAGAAAATAAGATTTCCAGGCCAGCTTGAAGGATGTGGCAATGTTAGCAAGTAAAGTCACTACTGCATCTATTTCTATTTGGGCCAAATAAATACATTTTTGTACCATAATTATCTTTTCCTGTCATCCTTTCTGTTTCCTTTATCATTTTTGTCTCTAAACAAATTATCTGACAGCTAGGTGACCTGTTTAGAACACGTTATCTTTCAAAATATCTAAGTGCTTTTTGGTATTGTATATAACCAGATACATTTGTTTTTATTTTAACTGGTAAACTGCCAGCCTCTGATTGAAATTTCTATTCAGTCACCATAATAGAATGCTTTGTGTACTCCCACACCCTTTAGGGTTTATAATGCTATTCTCTGCTCTTTTCCAAGGAATATAAATTGAAATCTTTGGGCTCTCTCAGTGGGTGTGACATTACCATCCAACATTTTTTAATTTCTACATGCGGCTAAAATTGAAGCAGTAAATTTCATCCTGCTAGAATTTACAGTTGAAGGGATTAGAGCTAGAAGAGCCGTTAGACGATCTCCTCTGTTTAACAGATTAAGAAATAAACTCCCAGAGACAGTGACTTACCTCTAGGTACTGGGTACAAATGCCTTAGACAAGACTGCTTTCCCTTTACTGCATCTTCTCCTCCCCAACCCTGCCCTCTCATCTAGCAAGCTCCTTTACACACCTCTTCTTTTTCTTTTTCTTTTTTTCTCTCTCTCTTTCTTTTCTTTCTTTTTCTTTTCTTTTCTTTTTTTCTTTAATTTTTGCCACATGTGCTTGCCAGAGAGACAAAAGGAAAGCGAGAAAGCATTCCCCTAGGGGACGGTCACACCACAGCCCCTTCTCTCCCACTTCCTAACCCTGCCCTGCCAGGATTCTGGGCTCGTGTGCACGTGCACCATCTCCGACCACTGAGTTCAGGATGCGAACTGCATGGTCAGCCAGGTGGGCTCCAGGTGCCTTTCCACCGGACCACGGACTGGCCCCTTATCTCCTGTTTCAAAGTGACCTTTCTTATCAGCGTTAGCCTTTTCCATAGCACCTAGCAGACCCATCCTCAAACGTTATCATGACTTCTATTTTCTCTAGTTGGATATTGTTTTGTATTAGGCATTTAGGACTATGAAGCAAATACAGTAATATGATAATTTACCAAGTACTGGTATATTGACCAAAAAGAGTTCATGTAAGTTTTCAAATGGCTAAATTATTTCTAAAGATAGGTAAAATAATTCGACTTTTCCTCTTATTGTCCATGAAAGATCATGTGCTGTGTTATGAAGACAGTTAGAATTGAGGATAAAATCCTGTGTGCTTCCTCTTAGTGGATATAGGACTGACCACACGGGAGAGTATTTTCTTAACTTACTAAGATGTGCTTTCTTTCCTGTGTTAAAAATAAGTAAACATCAACTCTTTTATCTGCAAAACAAGGACTTTTAAATACTACTTCACCTAGTTGAGGATTGGAATAACACTGTCTAACTTCACCTTGCAGGTAATTTATTGTTCTTAATTTAGAGGCATGCTTTGACACTAGTATAAAACTAATGTGAAAAACAGTTCCTGGGCCAGCAGGTGGCATAGTGGTTAAGGTGCTGGACACTCCCACATGGCCAGCCATGGTTCAAGTCTCAGACCTGGTGGCTTCCTTTCTTCCTCTCTCTCTCTCTCTCTGTGTTTGTCTCTCTCTGGTCAAATTAAAATGAATGAATAAATAAAATTAAATAAATAATAATTAAAAAAAACAGTTCCTATATGTTTCTGTATAATGGTTCATGAAATATGTGTAGAATAACCTAACTGCCTTTTATGAAAATCTGAACTTATAATCCAGGCTACTGTAGTCAGTTGTAGATCAAATATGAGTGTTTCCCCATAGGTAACTTGGAGCCTTGCAGTTGAAAACTCACTGTCTTTACCGACTAGTATTTTCTGATTAGACCTCTCTGAAAATAACTATTTCAAAGCCTTTGATTGTGAAAAATAATTCTTGACATTAATATTCTCCAATCAATATACTTTAGAATATATAGCTATAAAATCATTGACAGCTGCTTTAATATGTATTTCTAGTAAAATTAAAATTTATTCAAAACATATGCTTTCCTTACAAATCCATGGCTTCATCTATAATAGAATTTCTTCTTCTTATATAGCTGAAAAAGTCATCTTATGCCTGATGTCTCGTTTCTTTCTGTGCAGCTACGGCAGTTAGTTAATGTGTGCATCAACCCGGATCCGGAGAAGCGACCAGACATCACCTATGTCTACGATGTGGCGAAGAGGATGCACGCGTGCACTGCAAGCAGCTAGGTGTGTGCGCCATCATGAAGAACATAACCAAATAATTTAAAGTATTTCTGTGCAAATCGTACCTCCCTGTTTTCGTCCGGGTGTTAAGATGACTATTTCAGAGCTAATGTGCTTTGAATCCTTAACCAGTTTTTCATAGAAGCTTCATTTTGTACCAATCTAAAGAACCTTATTGCAAACCCCAAGTGACTTGGAATAATCAAATTGCATGTTAGGAGAATAAATGAAACATGGTGGTTTTTAATGGCAATGCTTTTTAGAACTATGTGGAGTTTCCTGCTGGGAAATTGGGTTCAGATAGAACGTCTACGTGAGGTAGCTAAGGGGCAGCCTGGCACGCATCAGATAGGTAGACCTGCACCGAGAAGTCTCTGAACACGTGACTTGTTTGTTTTTCAGTCATTTATGGACAATGAGATGAATGCAGTTGTAAACTTCTGTGATTATTTTATTCTTAAAAGTTTGAAGTTATGTGTTTTAGTGTTAGCATTGTAGCTTTCAAATATCATTCTTACAGTAGATGCAGATAAACAGAAATATTGAAAATTCTAAGCTTATACATTCAAAATGCATCTATTAAATGTGAAAAGATTTGGGGACAAAATGTGAGTCAGACACTGAAGAGTTCTTTTTGTTTTGTTTTAATATCTTTGATATCTTTTGTGCATTAAGATGGTATAAATGAATGCAATTAAAAAGTGGTTAAGGATTTCTTTGGCCGGTGTGATGATAATTTTTAAAGGTGCACATTACCCAATGCTTTTATGTGTGTGTTTTTATTATTGTTTGTACATTTGAAAAATATCCTTTGAATAATCTTTGCAGTACTATATTTCAGTTTCTTTATAAATTTAAAAACATTTAACCCATAATTGTACACTATAATGTAAGCTTATGTTTTTATTCTTAGATTTTATTGAAGTTCTGATTGGTCCCCTTTGGAAAATTTTTTTTTATATATATTCTTCAAGTTACTTTCTTATTTATATTGTATGTGCATTTTATGCATGAATGTCTTGGATCTTCTGAGAAAATAATACCCTTGTAATCGATATTTGATTTGCTAACATTTTTCTGGATTGAAAACTTTTTTTTTTAACTTTTTAGAATTTGGGCCACCCTATGTGCATGTATTTTGTCATATTAGAGGGGTGAAAGGACGTGTGTTGTACTGTACCTGTGAATGTTGATACCGTTTCAGTCCATTTGACAAGGCTGTAATTGTAGAATTTGTTTGAAGACATGTAAACTGGCCATTACTCCAGCCAAAAATGTTCTGAGATGAACATTTCTGTTCAGAAGCTTTCGAGCAAAGTACTGTATTTGTGCAGGAAGATGGCAGAGATGGCCATGCTTCACTTAGGTCAAGGCGATGGGCAAAGATTAGCAAATGCTGTCGTGGAGATTGTTTTCCCTGAGTGCCTTCGTGGTAGTGGTGACCAGTTCCAGGCAGAATTATGAAGCTAAAAAGCTGAGTGGCAGTCACCGTTAAAGGACGCCATGCCACCCTAAGAGCTTAGGATGGATTATCCTGCCAACATGAAAACCTCATATTTGGAGAACACCTGTCTTTAGCCTACATAACTGCTGTTTTTTATTTTTTCATATTTTTTTTACACTTAATTTGAATACTTTTAAGTAACTTACACAGTTTAAAACTGTATAAAGGACAAAAAGTATAAGGTCTTCTTTTTCTCAAAGCTCAGCCAGTTATGTAGGCCTCTGAAGGGCGTTTTATCTTGGAATAGGCAAAGGAAACCTGGGTGGTCTTTATATGAAGGCTGTATACATGATTTTTTTTCCCCAGGTTGTGGTGACTTAGAACATGTACACTGAACAGCCACAGATTTATCCCCAGAAGTATGAATGGAATTGTTTTTGTTGACCCTTGTTGTCATTTTCGTTTTAATGTAATATGACTGATTGAGATGAGACGTTCTCTGGTTGGAGCAGGTACTCTTTTTCTTGAAGTCTGTAAGAATACATACGTAGATCTAAAATTCATCAGCTTATCCCCTCACAGTGGCTTTTAAGTAAAGATTTAAGCTTTTCTTCTCAGTGAATCTACCTACAGGAAGGAAATAGCTGGGAAGACTTTAATGATCAGGGAAATCCATCATTACTTTTGACAAATGGAAAGTTTTTGTCTTGGATAGATCTTTTTAAAATAGAAGTGTTCTTATTTTTCCTGTTTAAGAACCACATTTTAATTTTGAATAGGATTATTTCAAAGAATTATGAAAATGATTAGAAGTTGTAATTTTTATAATCACCTATATGATGTTCTTGATATTTCTTGTATAAGTACATTTTGTATTAATTAAGTTAAACAGTCGAATTGATTTGAGAAATAAAAGGTACATCTGATCCTGAACCTTCGTTAGACATTGGTACCTGTTGCCCAGGGGCAAGAGTGGGGTAACTGTTTTATGTGCTAGGGTTTAGGAATGGTGGATGAAGGGTCTCCCTGTATAAATATAGTGCTCAGCAATGTGCAATGATTGTTAGTCTGCTAAGATACAGCAGCCGTTTCCTGAATGCTTTACCGTTCTACATCCTATCTATTACAAAACACCTTTTTAGTACCCATATACATCAGGTGTTGCTGTTACCATTTACCATGATATTTATTTTAACCAAAATGTTATTCACATTAAATGTTTATTCTTTAAAAATGAATGTATTATGTTTATAACCCACAAATGCATAATTGCCTTATGCCTCATATTTCAATAGTACTGTAATATGAACTTCTTTTGTGAAATACTTTTATTTTGTTATGCCTTAAATACACAGACAAGAAGATTCTGTTATTAGCTTTCAAAATTGTACAATATCCTAATATAAATAAAATTATAAAAATAAAAAATGAGTACCGTAAAATTTCTGTGTATCTGAATTTTTTCTCCGAAAGGTGACCGTGGTTCATTTCACTTAACACTTAACCTACAGAAACAAGTTTTATACATTTCTACAACTTAGCCATTTTAGAGACGCCTGTAAACTGAAGCAATCAAGAGTAACAGCAGACTTCTGACAGACCCTAAGAGGTCGGTTCTGAATGTGCAGTGAAGGAACTTGTGTCTTCACATCTTCCTATTCTCCTTAGTGCATCATTTTCTATTTTTAACTAGGAAAAGTTTTCTAAAAGGTTAAAAAAAAACCCCAAACTGTATCTTTCTGCTTTGAACTTTTACAGTGTAAAGCTTAGGAAGTTGATTCTTGTCATTGCCATGGGCTGCTCAGTGTTACAGCTATTCAACAGTTTATATGTTGAATGTTCTTTTCACATAATGAGTGCAGATTGCTACCACATCTGGAAACGTTGAATCTACAAGATCTCTGTGGGGCGAAACCTACCAGACTGATGTAGAGTGAGTGGGTGTACCATACATCAGGACAGCGCTCTTAAAGAGACCAAAGATGAAGAGCGGCTAATTTTTTTTTTTTTTTAACTTGCCAGAGGGCACATATACTCTCTGGAGACAAAGAGAGAGACAGAGAAAGAGCCAGAAGGAAAGTGAGAAAGCATCCCCACCCATGGGGAATGGTCATGCTACAGTCCTTTCTCCTCCACCTCTTCTTCCTTTTGGGATTTTGGGTATGCATGTGCATGTTATTCAAGCCGTTGGATCCAGGGTGGGAACCCCATGGTTGACCAGTGACTTGCATTAAATAACCTGTGGTCTGATGGTGTGTTTATATTTCATAATTGTGAAGTAACAGTAAATTTTAGTCACAAGGCAGTGTTTGGGACTAGTTTTAAATTTCATTTCAAAGGTATACTTGATTGGTAGAAATACCAGTACCAGGCATATATGTTTAAATGTATTACTTGTTACAGCTGCAGTTACCTTCATGTTGGTGCAATTACATTTTAAAATCAAAACAATGCTTTTGTTGATATATGATTGATATATGGACATATAATTGATACATAATATATGCAAAGAAACCCTTTAATTTTCAAAAGATGTCTATGAAGTAATTACAGTATTTTTAATTATGTGTGAATTTCTGGTTCAATTAATGATGAATTAAAACAGAGTTATCAAATTATCTTTTAGGGAAAATTGAAAGTTTGTAATATTTATCTTTAATTGAGAGTTTTATTGAAGGGAGTTTTTCTATGCACTGATTTCATTGTTCAGTTGGGTACCTAAGTAATTTAAACCTTGAAAGATAAAGTAAAAGGAAACTTTACTAGGATTTGTTAATGAAGGAATTTGAGTCTATTATTTGCATTGTTTGTGATACAGTGCAACAGGAAATCAATTTTTTCACTTCTTTTTAGAAGTAGGATGAGTCTTGATAAAATTCACAGAAAATGTATGTTATGAAAGAGAACTATGCAAAGATTTACTTTAATTCCATTTTCCATGAACTTTTTGAAGTTCCCACCTATAATCCTGTTAATAAATTAATTTCTCTAATCTTCTCTTTCTCATATGTAAAATAGGAATATAAATTCTAAACTTGACAGAAGAACTAAATTGCAATACCTTTTCTTTGTTTCTTTTTTTTTTTTTTAGAAGTTTGTTGCCATAAGACATGTGTGCTCACCAGAGAGAGAGACAAGTGAGAGGGAAAGTGAGAAGTCATCCATCAGGAGGGATGACCATGCTGCAATCCCTTCTCCATTCTTCTCCTGGGATCTTGGGCATGCACACACACACTCCCACCCCCACCCCCCCGCCCACTCCTCACCCCCACAACCCCGCATAAGTTTGAAACCACCTGGTCCAGGACTTGAACAGCAGTGGGCCATGTGGGAGTCCAGGGATGTAACCACTTGCCATCTGCTGGCCCCAGCAATGCCTTTTCTAAGGACTGAGTGCAGTGCCTCCTGCCAAACAAGGGCCTGATGCATGTGGCTGTTGTGGGAGAGCAGAAGAGAGTGTATATTCTCGACTGCATTTCCATCCAGTTTGCCTGTTGTCTTTATTCTAGTTCCCCTGGCCGAATTTCTCAACGGCCCTAATATCATTCAGTTTAGGACTGGTAGCGTTTAGATGGAACTACCCAGACGACATCCTGTATTTTTCCTGTTACTGCTTACCCCAACTGCAGCCAAATGCTTACTTGCTTAATGCTTCATTTCAGTCTCCTGCTTGGTCCTAATTCCCTGAGGAAGAGTACTTCTGTATTGTCCTCCGTGGTGTTCAGCCCTGAAGACAACGTCTCCTTTGTGGTAGTCGCTCTGGTTTGTTTTTTGTTCTTTTTAATTAATGAATGAGCATTATAATGCTATAAACGGAACTAAGCACTCTGGGGGTTGCTCATGGATGCAAAAAGAGAAATCTAGAAGAAATAAGGACAAGGAAGAAGGTAAGAAAATAAAATCAGAAAAGCTAAACCAAAAGAAAATTTTGAAGTTACCCATTGCCACGGCTTACAAAGAAAGTGAAGATGATAAGGACAGGGAGTAAACCCTTACACTTAGCAAGAAACACCGTAATGTCTGCAGAGCAGCCATTTCAGTGGGAGACTGGGCTGGAAGACAAAACTGGGGAACGAGTAGGAATGGTGGCACATGGAGGGAAGTCAGGAGGTAACCAGAAGTAACCACTTAAAAAGAAAAAGTGAATTTAGAATAGTCCCAAGGTCAGAAGAAGTAGCAAGTAGAGAAGAACTAGAGCGCAGATGGTGGTAAGGAAGAATGGGCTCCAGGTGGCAAAATGGTTACCTCACTACACTCTCATGTAGTTGACTGCAGTTTGAGTCCTGGACCTGGTGGCTTAAAACTTACCCCGGGCACATGCGTGTGCGTGCCCAAAATCCCAAAAAAGAATGGAGGAGAAGGGATTACAGCCTGGCCATTCTCCTGGGGGTGGGTGTGTGTGTGTGGGGGGGTGATTTCTCACTTTCTGTCTTTGGCAAGTGCACATGCCATATACCAAAAAAAAAATAATAATAATAATCTCAAA